TTTTTTTTTTTTAGGAACCCTTTTCATTGCATTGTTCTTTCATAGCCCTTTTAATGTTTATAATTTGTTCTTATTTTGTGTAAATATTTATTTTTTTAATGTCAGTCTTCCCTACCTGTAGGTTCCGCGAGATCAGAGGACACGTCTGTATTTTTCCAGTTTTCCCACTGATCTTTGCCCAGTGGCTGGTACTTAATAGGTGCCCAGTATATTTTAAGGGAAGAAAGGAAGAGTTTGGGTGGCTTGTTCAAGGTCACCAAGATAGTAAGTGACAGAGGATTGAAATTAGGTCTGTCTAATACTGACGTGCCACATGGACACATGAGCCCTTCCACTGAAGGATTGGGCTCTTGAGATTTAACTGAAATCTGCCTCTCTTTATTTTATCAAACATTAACCTTGGTATCTCTTGCTACAGGCTCCTCCTGTGTAGTTTCTGTGACCATGTGGTTAATGGAGCCCTCCTGACTTCACAGGCTTAGCTGGTGACTTTGTTGAAATGGGCTATTGATTTGACCCTGCCTGCCCATTGTCACATTGGCCTCGTAGAGAGAATTCCAGAAACCAGAAGCCTAACAGACATTTTCCTGGAAGTTCTTCCTACTGTCATTGCCCCTTTGATCCTGCTTCCTTTGTCCCAGTGTCCTGGGGGCAGAACTCTGGTATGAACTGAGGTGAAGCTCTTCCTTAGAGCTCCAACTCATCTTTTGAGTTAGGGTGTTTCTACTTCTTTTACTGCCAGTGCTGTGGGCAAGAGCCAGTAGCCATGCTTCTGCACTACATGATTGTATAGGGACTCAGTCCCAGAGCTGAATCCAGACCCCTCAGTCTTTCTTCTCTCTGGTTAATGTGCCTAGAAATTCTAACCCAGAACACATTTCAGAGAAGGCTTTCTTTAACCTTCTTCTGACTTTGTGGTTCATTTGTTCATTTATTTACTCAATAAGCAAGCAAGCATTTGCTGAGTGCCTTTGTATTCCCAGGCCTGGACAAGCTCTTATACTGCAAGAGTTCCAGCTCCCATTCTTAATTGATGGTAGTGTGTCTTCCCTGAGGACTAAATAAGCTCTCTCACTAACTGCCCAGATGATACTGGACCTAAGTCTGTTGAGACCTGAAGGGGTAGATTTCAGAGGTTTCCCCCAACATTAACATTTGAAGATTTCACCTTGAAAGTTGCACAGTTTGTAGACTCCACAGGTCTTGGCCTACCCTCTGACTCTATCCTTTTCAATTGTTTTTGCACTCTTGATAAACAAATGAGAACCTTTTGGATAACGGGCTGTCAGAGAGCTCAGTAGCTGATCTTTCTGCAACTTTCAGCAATTGTTGATGGGGTGCCTTGACCAGTGGGACGGTGAATAGAACTTGGTAGGAGTCAGAGAGTCTGGGTTTTGGTCCTATCTTATTTCTTTCCTTTTCTGGGCTTTGGTTTTCCGAGTGATAGGGTGGCTGGGTCTGGTGTTGTGTGATAGTAAGTGAGCTTACCTGGAGCCACTTAAGGAGGGTTTATCAAGAAGGTGAAGGCAGGAAGCTGTGTATTTGTGGAGTTTGAGGGCAGTGTTGGCATCTTTGCATTCTCCCCTTGAGGACTGTTGAGATCGGATAGCAGTTCTGATGTCTGAGAAAGGCCATTTCTCAGAGGGCAGCGTATAGTGTGGGGAGCCCCCAGGTTGTTTGGAGGTTCTGGCAGGCACAGCTGTTCTACCTTACTCGCTGTCCTAGTGCCTGTGTGCCTTCCTCTTCCTCCACTGCTGTCCCTCACCCAGCTTTGGGGCATTCTGAACTGAGACAGGCTTTGGCTTTTACAGAGATAATTACTTGGAAGCAAAAGCAAAAAAACAGAACAAACCCAAATTAAGAAAATACAGAAAGACTAAGTACAATTAGTCTACCTCATAGGTACAGATAAAATTATAATAATAAATGCAGAATGCTTTAAAAAATTCATTATATAGTTTTATAGGATGAAAAAGTTCTAGAGATTGATTGTACAACAGTGTGAATATACCTAATACAGCTAAACTATACATTTAAAAATGGTTAAGACTGTCCATTTTATGTTACATGTATTTTTTAAACACAATTAGGAAAAAAAAAAACTATGGATAGAAAAAAACCAATAGGTCTTAGAAAATATCAGCCAATAAATTTCAAGTCTTTTCTCCTTGAGGAGAAAAATACTATGTAGCTATTTAACAATAAAATGCAAAATTTGGAATTTCTTTTTGGAGCATGGAATTACTGGTTATCCATTGTAATTAATTGTGGTAATCTTTAATCTAGAAGTAATATATATTCATTCAGGAAAATTTGAGTACAGAAAAGAGTAGGTGAAAGAAAACAATCATTTATAATTCCACTACCAAAACATCACCAGTATAAGCATTCAGATAGATTTCCCTCTGGTCATCTTTTTCTATAGATTTGGGCTCACCTTTACATATGGTACCAATCATACTGTGCATCCAATTTGGCACCCTGCTTTTGGTACTTAATGTTGTATCTTAAGCATTAGTCAACTCTCTATTAGTCCCTTGAGTGTTATTATAATTTATTTAGGCATTTTCCTATTGGTCATTTATGGTTATTTCCACTTTTTTGCTTTTTTTCTAACTGTGAAAATATATATATATGTATATATATATAGTGATATTTATGTGGACATATATAAAACGTAAAACTCACTATTTTAACCATTTTAAGTATAGTTCAGTGCATTAATTACATTCGTCTGCCAGGTGTAGTGGCATACACCTGCAATCCTAACACTTCGGGAGGCTGAGGTAGAAGGATTGTTTGAGGCCAGGAGTTTGAGACCACCCTGAACAACATAGCAAGATACCAGCTCTAGGCCGGGCGAGGTGGCTCACGCCTGTAATCCTAGCACTCTGGGAGGCCAAGGCGGGCGGATTGCTCAGGGTCAGGAGTTCGAAACCAGCCTGACTGAGCAAGAGCGAGACCCCGTCTCTACTATAAATAGAAAGAAATTAATTGGCCAACTAATATATATAGAAAAAATTAGCCGGGCATGGTGCCACATGCCTGTAGTCCCAGCTACTCGGGAGTCTGAGGCAGAAGGATTGCTTGAGCCCAGGAGTTTGAGGTTGCTGTGAGCTAGGCTGATGCGATGGCACTCACTCTAGCCTGGGCAACAAGCGAGACTCTGTCTCAAAAAAAAAAAAAAAGATCCCAGCTCTACAAATTTTTAAAAAATTAGCTGGGCATGGTGATGCATGCCTGTAGTCCCAGCTATTAAGGAGGCTGAAGCAGGAGGATCACTTGAGCTCCTCAGGAATTTGAGATTGCAGTGAGCAATGATGATGCCACTGCACTCTAAACTGAGCAACAGAGCGAGACACTGTCTCAAAAAATAAAAACACCAAATAATTACATTCACAGTGTGGTGCAGCCATTGTTACTGTCTGGTTCCAAAATTTTTCATCATCCCAAACAGACACTCTGCCCATTAAACAGTAACTCTCCATTCATTAAGCTTTCCCCACAGTCTCTGGTTACCTCTGATCTACTTCCCATCTCTATGAATCTGCCTATTATAGATATTTCATGCAAATGGAATTGTACAATATTTGTCTTTTTGTATGTGGCTTCTTTCACTTAGTATAGTGTTTTCAAAGTTCATTTGTGAACAGAATATATCAGAACATCATTTCTTTTTTTTTTTTGAGACAGAGTCTCACTTTGTTGCCCAGGCTAGAGTGAGTGCCCTGGCGTCAGCCTAGCTCACAGCAACCTCAAACTCCTGGGCTCAAGCAATCCTCCTGCCTCAGCCTCCCAAGTAGCTGGGACTACAGGCATGCGCCACCATGCTCGGCTGATTTTTTTCTATATATATTAGTTGGCCAATTAATTTCTTTCTATTTATAGTAGAGATGGGGTCTTTCTCTTGCTCTGGCTGGTTTTGAACTCCTGACCTTGAGCAATCTGCCCGCCTCAGCCTCCCAGCGTGCTAGGAGTACAGGCATAAGCCACCGCGCCCAGCCAGAACATCATTTCTTTTTATGACTAAATAATATTCCATTGTGTGTGTATATCACATTTTGTTTATCCATTCATCTGTTGATGAGCAGTTGGATTGTTTCCATCTTTTGCCTATTATGAATAATGCTCATATGAGCATTGGGGTCTAAGTGTCTGTTTAGTTCCTGTTTTTGTATCTTCCATGTATATGCCGAGGAATGCAGTTGCTGGGTCATATGTTAATTGTATGTTTAACTTCTTTAGGAAAAGGCATACTCTTTGCTTCTTTAATTATAAATAATGCTTAAATGAATATCTGTATACATCAAGCTTTTTTGACATTTCCACTCATGTATTTAAATTCTGTGAACTGAAATTAATGGGTCAAAGCGTGGGACAGTTTAAGATACCATGCCAAATGCCATCGGGAGGGATTGAACCTCTTTCGCTGCTGGCACAAATGTCTGAGAATGCCCATGTCACCAAACCAATATCATATCTAATATTTCACTGTTCTTAAATGTTGGAGAATAATGTCCATCTCTGATGGAACTATAATCTGGCCACAGAATAGCTTACGTGATACAGCTGCTGATCACCAGCCCTGAGTCTTTCTCCCTCCCAGCCAGTCCTGGGTCCTCTCACATCTGACTTCCCAACCCGTCTCTGGTCTATGTCCTTCTCCCCATCTGCCTGGTAAAGATGAGGTTGATTTGGCTTGAAAAAGACGTCCTTTAGGCCCAACGTGGTGGCTCACACCTATAGTCCCAGCACTTTGGGAGGCTGAGACAGGAGGATTGCTTGAGCCCAGGAGGTCAAGTCTGCAGTGAGCTGTGATCACGCCAGTATACTCTAGCCTGGGCAACAGAGACTCTGCCTCTAAAAGAAAAAAAAATTCCTCTAACTCTGGGGATTCCTTGCCACTTTGCTTCCTCTCTAGAAGGCCTAAGGCTTCTGTTGCTTCCCACTTCACCTGCTTCTCACAGCTTTTTCTATCTCTTACTCCTGTTCTTCTCCAGTTCTACAGTGAGTCAGGCATGCCTACCAAACACCTTTCAGACAGCGTGTGTGCCGTGTGTGGACAGCAGATCTTCGTGGACGTCAGTGAAGAGGGCATCATCGAGAACACGTATAGGCTGTCCTGCAATCATGTGTATCCTGCCTTGAACTCTTGGGCCACCTCTCTCCTGTGACCTGCATACTCTAGTCAGGAAGGGAAGGGGGATGGTTGTGAACCTGGGCATGCTGTCCAGATTTGTGAGTGTAGCAGAGCCACAAGAAGGCAGCCTTCCTCGCCCTTTCCCACAGATTGGAGCCACCCTTATGTACACAGTGGTTCCACTCTGGCTAGGTCTAAGAGCATCCTGAGGCTACAGCCACTGAGGCTGTGCTAGCTGACCCAAGATTGTACCAGTCATAGGGGAAGAGGACCCTCTAACAAAATCCCTCAGTTTAGAATCAAATCCCCTCTTCTGAATAACACTTGTAATGTTAATCATGTATTTACTCAGCTCCTAGTCTGTCCCTGTGTTTGGAGATGCATGTGTTATCTCCATTTTGCCCCTTAACAGCTCTGTGGGATAGGGATCGTTGTCCTCACTTCACATGTGAGGAAGCAGGTTCTGAGAGAGGGACTTGCCCCAGATTACAGAGCAGATAAGGATTGAGGCCAGGATTTGAACCTTTCTCCAGAGCCTGTGTGTGGGCACCTTGAAGACTGGCACAGGGCTGGAGTGCCATACTGGCTTCCTACCATTTCCCTTGACCTGTGGTGCTCAGATTCCATGAGTTCTGCATCCGCGGCTGGTGCATCGTGGGAAAGAAGCAGACGTGTCCCTACTGCAAAGAGAAGGTAGACCTCAAGAGGATGTTCAGCAATCCGTATCCTTTGTTTGAGTACTTGTTGGGAGTGGGCAGTGAGAAGAAAATACTGGCCAGTGTGACCCTGCGTTTTGGTCTTCCTTGGGCCCTCCCTCCTGCCCCCAGCTGGGGCATGTCCAATATTCTATTTGGCTTCTGTTCTGGGGAAGTTGGAGATGGGACATAGGGCAGAACTGGCAACTCAGCTTCCCATCATAGTTCTGTGTCCCTCAAGGGTAATAAATTGATAGTAACAGCAGTTACCACTTACTGCTTGCTCGCTGTGTGCTTGGCACTGCGTTAAGTGCTTTACTTGTATTAGCTCATTTGTTTCTCTAGCAACGTTATGACCTAGATAATGTTATCTTCATTTTACAAATGAAATGGTTTAGAGGTTGAGTAACTTGGTTAAGGTTACATAACTAGTGACTGATACCTCTCCTATGATGTGCAGTGCTAGAGACCAGCTCTGTGCCAGTGCAGGGATAGCTGGGGGCCCCCTGTACCCATCCACTGTCAATGCAGGACCTGTGCTCCTCTGAGCTGCCAATGCCAACCCAGCCAGCCTTCCCTGCTTTGCCCTCATCCTCCTCTTCCTTACAGCCTGTCTTTTGGAAAGTGCCCAACCACTTCTTTGGCCCCACCTTTAGTTCCCCTGGAGCCCAGGGACCCTGCTTTCTCCCCTCTCTTCTCCCAGCTACCTTTTTTTCTGCTCCATGATTCCCTCCCTGTTCCTTTTCCCCTATAAACTAGCTGGGTTCTACCTAGAACACTAGCTAGCATGGCCTGGTTCCTAGCACACTCCTATGGTCATTAAATAGGAGACTGGCCTATCCCCTCTCAGGTTCTCTACTTGGTTCTTCCAGGGACTCATTCAGGAACTAAATAACTCTGTAGCCAAGCTGAGGTTTGGGACTTCCCTTAGTTCTGAGCCAAACTGATTTTTTTTTTCTTTTTTGGAGACAGAGTCTTGCTCTGTTGCCTTGGGCTAGAGTGCCATAGTGTCACCCTCGCTCACAGCAACCTCACACTCCTGGGCTCAGGTGATCCTCCTGCCTCGGCCTCCCAAGTATCTAGGAGTACAGGCATGCGCCACCACGCCCAGCTATTTTTTTCTATTTTTAGTTGCCCAGCTAATATTTTTCTGTTTTTAGTAGAGATGGAATCTCGCTCTTGCTCTGGCTGCTCTCGAACTGCTGAGCTCAAGCGATGCTCCTGCCTCAGCCTCCCAGAGTGTTAGGATTGCAGGCGTGAGCCACCGTGCACAGCCCCCAACTGATCTTTCTGATGCCTTTGGAGGAGTTCCCCCACGGTTTCGTGAACTTCTGCCTGTGCTTTCCCCAGAGCTGCACTTACAGGCCCCCTCTCTAGATCCCTTGCCCAGCATTTAGATGTAAAGTAAGGACAGTAAAGTTTTGACTGTGCATAGTGCCTCACACTTGTAAAAGCAGCACTTTGGGAGGTTGAGGTGGGAGGATCACTTGAGGCCAGGAGTTTGAGACCAGCATGAGCAATACAGCGAGTCTCCCATTTTTACAACAAATTAAAAAAAACCAGCCAGGCATGGTGGCATGTGCCTGTAGTCCTAGCTAATTGGGAGGCTGAGGCAGGAGGATTGCTTGAGCCTAGGATTTCAAGGTTGCAGTGAGCTACAATTATGCCACTGGACTCCTACCTGGGTGATAGAGTGAGACCCTGTCTCCCGCCCAAAGAAATAAAGCAAAAGGAAAGGAACTCATCTTCAGGGCTGCTTGGCCTCAGTAGGGCCTGGTGCTTGGTGCCCCTAGATGGGCCCTTCTTTAGAGCCACTGCCAGAGGTTATCCTCTTATGACTAGCCTTTTGGTCCCTGTTCCCTTCTGGCTCTTTTCCTAGACTCAGCCCCTTCCTTGACCTAGAAAACCTTCAGTTTTAGACATTAGAAGAGCCTTGGGGTTACCCTGTACCACTCCCAGCCTCCTTGCAGCCATTGTCACAGATACATTTGTGGCAGCCTCAGGCTGTGTTTTCTCCCACTGGCACACTTAGAGAAAGTGTTACATGGGAGGCCCTCCCTGCATGTTGGTGATGGAGCGCTAAGATACACCTCTCTCTGTCTCTGTCTCTGTCTCTGTCTCTGTCTCTGTCTCTCTCTCTCTCTCTCTCTCTCTCTCTCTCTCACATCTCCCACACCAGTCCTTCCCGCCCTCCTTCCCCCATTCTCTGGTTCAGCGCTTCCAACATGGAGAACTGAAGAGAGGCTGGGTGGGCCCTTCCAGAAAGCAGCTTCCTTTCCTCTAGGCTATTGGGCAAACTCACAGAGGACCTGGGGAAACCCCCTTCCCCCATCCTTGATCAACCTTAGTAGCTCTTACTTGTAGCCTCTTTTCTTTAACACGCTGACAGCTGGGAGAGGCCTCATGTCATGTACGGGCAACTGCTGGATTGGCTTCGGTACCTGGTAGCCTGGCAGCCTGTCATCATTGGCCTGGTGCAAGGCATCAACTACATCCTGGGCCTGGAATAGTCAGGAAGAACATCAGTGGAGAACCCTCGCCACCCACCGTGGACCTCAGGGCACTCTCCTCCCTGCCCACAAAGACCTGGGTGGGAAAGACTCAAGGGGCACTTGGGCCTCTCAGGACCCCTCCGGCTGTGTCCGGACTGGTGTGGGATGTGATGGAGAGCCAGCCAGTGGGGCTGTCAGCGGTGGGGGGGCTTTTTAAAAGAAAACTATTTTGATGAATATATTTAAAAAACCTTTTTTATTGTGGAGCATAGGAATTGCCCCCTTCCAGGTCTCACTCCCCCCGCCTGAGCAGGGTGGGAGCAGAGCCATGACATTTTTGGTTTCAAGGAGCATTCTTACCTCTGGCCGAGAGCACTGGTAGGCTCTCCGGTAGTTGAGAGCCTCAGCCCACCCGCTCCCCTCTCCTCCCCTCTGTGGGGCTCAAGCCTGGTGCACTCAGTGTGGAAGGGCTGACAAGCTCAGGCTGGTGCTGCAGGTGAGCACTGAGGGCCCAAGTGTCTTCCCCTGCTGTCTGGGACCCAGGACAGATGTTATGTCAGACTTCGTCTCCCCTGCCCAGGAGCTATAGGCAGGTTGAGGCAAGTGGAGGAGCCTCATCCAGGACTTTCCCAACAAGGAAAGTCATGGAACCTCAGAATTGATTGAAGATTTGTTTTGGGACATCTGGAAGAATCAGTCACATGGAGAAGCTGCCCTTGAGCAGGGCTGTAGTCAGCCATGAAGAGAGACCATTTATATTAAATATATAGTTGGGCCATGGGGCACCTGTTGGCAGCAATGATTGAGGGCCCTGGTACAAGTTGATTCTTCCATGAATCCTTCAGTGGAGTAGTAGTGACGTGTGCCAAAGGCTGCTCTGTCACATCACTTCCTTCCTGAAAGCCTGAGTAAGAGTGCGTATGCATGTGGGTCTGTGTGTGGCAGAAGGACTATGACAGATGTCAGCTTCTCCTTGTCAGATGATGTCCCCTTGATGCTGGCAGGGGATTCCCAGCCCAGTGACTGTCCCTCCGTGAGCTTTGTCATTCGTGAGTGATCCTGCCTGAGTCTGACTACAGGATGGTGGGTGGGGGGTGAAGAAGGATCGCACCTAGGTGAGTATGAGTTCTGAAAGGGTTCTAGGAGTTTTGAAGAAAGTGGGAGAGCAAACATGGGCCTTCAGTGCTGAGTTTCTAGGGAATATGGTGTCCCTTCAAGGGTAGCAAGAACCAAGCAGGATCTTGTCACTGCCATCTGAATAAAGCTCCATGAGCTGGGTTGGAAAGTTGAACATCCATCTTGCTTTTCTTCTTAATACCTCTTTGTCTGGGGCCCCCAGGGGTGTCTTGCCTTTGCTTACCCCCATCTGAGGCCTGGCAGTGGTTGGCCCCGCCTTGCCACTATTCCCCTTCTAAAATCTGTGGCAGTGGTGGGATGCTCGGCTCTTGTCCTGTGGCTAAGGAGCCCTGGAGCATCCCAGGGCCTCCTTTCAGACTGAGGTGGCTCTATAGTCTCACTGCTTGAGGTCAGTGCCCTGCCACCACCTGCCTTCAGGGCCACTCTCAGCCTCGGCTGCCCTGCCCAGCTGTGGCTTCCCAGGGCACCCCACTGCTCATGCCACGTATGGGTCCATCCTGAGAGGGCAATGGGGACTGGCCAAAGGGCCCAGGGATCACCCTTCCCTTCACCTTTGTTCTCCCAACCCCCATGTCAGGCTGGTGTGAAAAGCCAAGACCAGGCTGTCCAAAGCTGTCTTTTTGTACTTAACAGTCCTGAGGCCCGTGACCTCACAGTGGCCCAACTCTGGTCTTCGTTATATTCTAAAGTAGAGTCTGTCCCCTCTCCCTGTCATCCCTCACCTGTCACCCACTGGACTGTCTTTCAGAAACTCCTAGTGGCCTTGCTGCCTGCCCTAATTCCTGGAAATGTGATCCTGGGGAGAACTCCCTGCATTTCTGCAGCATAGGAGAAGTTAGAGAGAGGAACTGAGAGGAGGGAACTGTAACCTAGACACCTAGAGAAGAGGATGTGACTTAGTCTCCTACGTCTAAATTAGGAATACAAATCTGGTTTTTCTACAAAAAACTTGACATTATAGCTAACTGTGTTCCTGTTGCCTCCTGCAAACCCAGTTCCATCCCCTGCCCTCCCTGGCTGTATCACTAGCCCTCCCACCCTCCTGATCACATGAATCACAAACCTCAGACACACAGCTCTTGTCCACGCATGATATGTTCATGCAGTGGATCACCTGGCCCTGATCTTTCTGCCTCCACAGGTGATTGCACAACCCTGAGAGCGAGTACCTCCTTAGATTTTGCATCTTACGTGCCTCACGTGACTCCCACCCTGGTTCTAGTCCTGCCACCGCCTAGCTCCATTTGCCCCATCAGTGACCAAGTGAATATATTGAAATAGCCTCTTTTGCTGCTAGAGCTGTGCTGAGCCACCCTGCCTCTTCCCCAGGAAGAGCCCTCCCCTCCTTTTAGGCCAGCTCTCTGGACCTTGTGTTCCAAGCCTGGCTTGGCTGTGAGTTCCTGCAGACAATGGGGTAAGTGCTCTTGGCGTATCCCTCTGGTGGGTGGGGCACATGTGACTAAACTGAATCTTGGAGCTCCCCAAAGGGAGCTTCTGTAAAGGAGGGTTCTTCAGGACTTCTTGGGAGCCAAGCGGGAGCAGTCTAGAACTACTAGAGAAACTATACCTGCATCTCTGGCCAGAGGGGCTAGGATGAGGGAAATAAGTGTTTATGGGCACAAAGAGTGGGTATGGGGTGATGCTGCTAACCTTGGGGCTAGTAGTTGTGGGGAATGGGGTGCCCGAGAGAGGCCAGGGTACAGATGGGCTGGTGTGGCAGAGCCTGAAATGGTCAAAATGATCCAGTTTGGGGTCCCCAGTGCCTAGCAAAGTTGTTGCCTTGAATATCAGTGCAAATGTGGAAGAAGCAGATGCCTCTGAAGTGTGGAGGCAGATACTAGAATCCTCACTCTTGGCTGCGTCAGAAAAATTGGTCAGTAAGAGACTCTTACTAGTTCACACCCTAGGTAACCCTGGGGAGTAGGGAACCTGGGAGTTAATAGGGAGGTTTCTGGTCACTGTGAGCTTCGGCTCAAGAATAGGTGTTACTTGGCTCAGTGCCTACTCTGACCAGTTACTAGAATAATAGTGAAAGTGAAATAGAGGGTGGGGACAGTACTTTCCCAGAAGGATTTCACCGCATCTCATCCTTCCCAGAACCTGCTCTGGTGGTAGACAGAGCATTGTGTCCCTATGTCACTAGGTAAGTCCCTACTCTCTCTTTGGGTCTCAGTTTCTGCATGCTTAATGAAGGTTTGAGATTGGACTAGATAACCATCATATAAATGGCAGTAAGCTGGAGTGGGGAAGGTAGTCACTAGATGACCCCCAGCTTTGTTTCTAAGTTTTTTTGTTTGTTTTTTGAGACAGAGTGTTTCCCAGGCTAGAGTGCCGTGGCATCAGCCTAGCTCACAGCAACCTCAAACTCCTGGGCTCAAGCAATCCTTCTGCCTCAGCCTCTGAGTAGCTGGGACTACAGGCACGCACCACCATGCCCAGCTAATTTTTTCTATATATATTTTTAATTGGCCAATTAATTTCTTTCTATTTTTAGTAGAGACAGGGTCTTACTCTTGCTCAGGCTGGTTTCGAACTCCTGACCTTGAGCGATCCTCCTGCCTCAGCCTCCCAGAGTGCTAGGATTACAGGCGTGAGCCACCTAGCTTAGCCATGTTTATAAGTATTGAAAGAGCTCCAGCCTGTGCTGGTGCCTGTTCTCTAGGAGTTATCAATTAGGACAGCTGGCCAGGACAGGGTAAACAGCAGTGCCTGGTAGCCCCCTGCAAGGTCAGACCTGTGGAGGGGCTGGGGTGTTTACAAGAAGGAAAGGCAGCTACTGGGAATATGTGGAAGTGTTTACCATTCTCCACCCCCGCCTCTCCCCAGAGAAGAGGATGTTGTCATGGATAAATAGAGACAAGCTCACCAGTTCCTGACACATGCATCATGACCATGAGACAGAGCTGGACACCAGGTAGGACTTGGGGCTGTGCATGGGTGTGTGGGGATGGTGTCTATAAATAGAATGGAGCCATGGTCTAACCCTGCACATTTACCCTAAGGTGAACACCACCTAACCCAGCCTGCTTTAAGCCTCTGTCCAGATGCTGTGGCTCTGGCTCCATTCAAAAGGGCTAAGGGGTGGAGGCCTGGGGCCCTGGGGCCCTTCCTCCCTGTCTGATTCTCTGGGCTGTGGCTACATCCTTCACCAGCCAGCACCTCTCTCTCCAGACGTGAGCCAGGATGCTGAGCATTACCAGGCAGCTAAATTAGCTGCTGGCCTCTGTCACTATCCTTTCCTCTCAGCTCCCAGTCCTTTGTGGGTCCTGCTCCTGTGTGCCTGTGTCATCACTCTCCTGGTCAGAGCCACACCTGTACCTCAGACCATCACAGCTGCCACTGCCTCAGTTGGAAGCATAAAGGACCCCTGCCCCTCCCGGCCCCCAGAGCACTCAGCAGCTGAGCGGTGCCCAGCATTGGAGGTGACGTGGCCAGAGGTGGAAGTGCCACTGAGTAAGGAGCAACTATTAATATGATGGGATCCCAGGAGGGCACAGTGGTCAGAGGGTGGGCTGTGGGTACAGAGGGTCCAAGGATCCCGTTGACTCCTGAGCACCACCCCTTCTTCTGCCAGACAGTCCCCATTCTCCATCCCCAACCCAGCCTTGGTGGCCACATACTCCAAGGCCCAGCCTCTCCACCAAGAGCTGCTTGCTCTCTGGCCATCTCGGAAGAGCAGCAGCCTGCTAGGGCTGCCCTCTGGGCTGGCTGCTAGAGTCACAGAGGCTGGGCACTAGAAGAGGTCATCCTGAGAAACAGGTCAGGAGTCTTCACGTGAATCAAGGACAGGACCCTTCCCGACATCTCCAAGCTCAGGCCTAGGGTGTTCCTTACAGACAACTTCACTTCCGCTTCATGGGCTTTCCCACCTGGCAGTATGGGGCTGTGGGGACCTGGCAGGGTGGGCAGGGCAGAGCATGGCAGAAGGGAGGGCCTGCCCCAATGGAAGGGCTGACAGCTGCATGTGTCCCTAGATGGAACGCTGACCTTGTCCTGTACTGCCTGTAGCCGCTTCCCACATTTCAGCATCCTCTACTGGCTTGGAAATGGTTCCTTCATCGAGCACCTCTCAGGCCGGCTGCGAGAGGGCAGCACCAGGTGAGGGTTGCAGCAGCCAGGCCAGTGGGAGGGAGGCCTCCTGCTGCGGCCCCCTCACAACCTTCCCCTTCCCTTCTCCTGTGCTCCAGGCGGGAGCATGGGAGCATGAGCACGAGGCTGTGGAAGGCCTTGGTGCTGGAGGAGCTGAGCCCTGCCCTGCGTAGCAGCAACTTCTCCTGCGTGTTTGTAGACCCTGACCAGGTTGCCCGGCATCACATCGTCCTGGCCCAGCTCTGGGTGAGGAACCCAGGGACAGGAGTGCTGCTTCCGTGTGGGAGGAAAGGGTGGGCTCCACCAGAGCAGCGTCCAAGCTAACACTCCCCCCCCAGCTTCTTCCCCTCCCCCACACACATTCCCCAAGGTCAGCCTGGGTAGAAACTGAAAGGAACTTGGGACTCAGGCAGGGGAGATATGGCTGGAGGAAAGTGACAAATGTCTCGTCATTCTTTGATCCTAGTCTGCTTTCAATTCTCCAGGCTGCGCCAAGGACAATCTTGCCCCCCACTCAGGAAGCCCTGCCCTCCAGCCACAGCACAGGGCCAGCGACAGCTCAACCCTGACCAGCACCTGGCTACCACCTGCCTGGAGGGTGAACAGATCCTGGCGGCTAGTCCCCCTAGCCCAGCCCTCCTCCTCTGCTTTGGTTCTCTCTTCTCACCAAACTCCCCATCTGCCTAGAAAAATCCTAATAACCTCTGTAAGGCTTCCTCCTGCCTGCCATTCTTTCCACTCACCCATTAACTTTTCTAACTTCCTACCCTACTCCTCACTCTCTCTGCTGCTCAGAAACCACCAAGACCTTGAGTGCCTTAGCCTCATGCTCAGGGCCACGCCTACGTTTCCAACATGACTCTGCAAGGATTCTCGATTGTTCCCAGACAAATTCCTATGCTTCTGCTCATTTGGTCCCCTCTTTGTTACCATCCCAACAGGTGAACTCTGAAGCCCTCTTTCAGCTTTGGCCACATTCTGCATTTACCTCGTGGTGTTTATGAGGTTTTTTCCCCTTCACGTAAATGGACTGTCCCTAGGGATGGGGGCAGTGGCTGTTTGTGTCATCCCAGTAGGGTCTTCATAAAGGATTGTTCAATGAGTCATCTTGACATCTGCTCATTCATTGAGGCCTCAGGTCCACCCATAGGAACTGTGCCTGTCCCAGGAGGGAGTATGGGAAGAAAGGGACTGCCACTTAGAAGCTCTAGATAAAACAAGATTTAGGGGAAAACAGACCCTTGAAAAGAGAGAACAGCCAGCCCATATTGCTCCTGAGGAGCAGAGGCCGAGCCTGGGGAAGATGTAGAAGACTCAGCTAGGACAAGGTAGGTTCTCCAAAGAGCCCAGATTTCCCTCTTCTTCCCACACAGACCAAGGCAGCTCAGCACTCAAGGGAGAAAAAATAGACTTTATTTACAAGTAATAACATTTAGAAAAGATCCATCCCCAGCCCTTAAAAACCTTCCATCACTCCAAATCCCACCCCAGTATAAGTCTGGGGAAGATGGGGTGTGAGCTGCCACTGAAGGCTGTCCCCTCCACCCCACTCCTGAGACATAGGGCCCATCTGTCCTGGCAAAAAGCATCCTCTGGCAGGTACTTCCACCAGGTCATGCCCAGTCCTGGACTTCACGAGCAAGGGCCCCTGCTAGGCCCAGCCACCAGGAGCAGCAGGAATCAGGGCCTGCTCCTCCAATGGTCCCTTCTAGATCCAGAGGCTGAGGAAGATTGGCTGAGACCAAGGACCCAGCCACTCAAAACCAGCCTCAAATCTGGTTGTGAAGTGACTTTGCTCTAAGAAAAAAATCAGGAGGCAGGGTAGGGAGAGTGCCCACACTGTCCAAGCTCCAGGCCTTCTGGGCCAGCTCTGAGAAGGCGCTGATGAAGGTCCAGGTACCAGGCCAAGGTGTGGGCAGTCATCACTGTCTCTAGGGGTTTGGCCACCATTGGCCTGGGAGCTGAGAGAAGGCACTGAGAGGGACAGGAGGAGGACCAGGTGAGATCAGCATTAGGGACACAGGTGGGGCCACTCACTGGTACTGGCCCTTTAGTGCTTTGCCTGAAAGAGACAGAGACATAGTCACGTGGCCAGATAAGACTTGTGATGCCAGCCTTCACTGGCTGGCTCAGGAAAACCCTCCTGTCCCACACCCCTGACTGGGATCCCCTCCTTTGTGAGCCCCAACATATCCAGCATCAGGTTAACAGTTGCTGGCTGTGGCTAAGAAGCTCTGGGTATTCTTGGTGGGAATGGGGTCGTCTATCTTCTCTTCTCAGTAATAAGCAGGTGAGGAGGACAGGGACCACCTCCTCTTAACCCCTTAACTTCCAGTAGCCTAGCTTCGCTGGCCCTGCCTTGGACGCTGCCCTATGGAGCAGTCTGGGGGTGCCTGTGCTCTCATCTGATTGCCCTCCCCGCCTCCCTGGCAGTGCCTCCACCTTGCCCTTGGCTCGAGGGGTGGCAGCAGTGGCAGCGCTGGCAGTGGTGGTGGCAATGCGCGGAGAGCGGCGGGTTCCACTGCGGGTGTTTGGGGAGGCCTTGGACAGGGCCTTCTTTGAGGCCCCCCGCCGTAGAAAGCTGTTCCCCAGCTTCTTGGGCGTGTTGAGGATGCTGAAGGCCATGGACTGGCGCCGGTCAGCCTGCAGGAGAAGGTCTGTCAAACTGGGCAGTCCACCAGTGCCTCCCCAGCGAGTCTGCTCCTCCAGCACTCGCCAGCAAGGCTCCACCTGGGCCTCCGTCTCCCTCCAGCCCCAGCCTAACCTGTTTAGCAGCTGGAGCTGCTTTCTTATGGGCCTCAGTAGTGCTCTGTTTGCGCCCTTCATGTCGGTCCCGGGGAGTCATAGGGCGTGGGAAACAGCTGGTGGCCTTCTTGGACTATGAGGAAAAGGACAGTTAGGCAGACAGTGGCAAGAAGATGTCACATCCCAAACCAGGTGTCTTGGCCTCTCAGAGTTGAGTGGACCTTAGGAGTCAACTTGTCCAACCTTCTCCCCTCCCACCAGCCCCCAGCCATGCATCAGGCCCTTGAAGAGAGAGAGGAAGAGTAGTTCGCCTTTAATCCTGGGCACAGTGCTACACAGGACAAAAGAAAAGAGCCAATGTCACCTACCTCAGGGGTGCCAGGGCCCTGGTGGGGCTCTAAGGAGACGCGTTTGCGCTGCTGCCGGGTGGTGATGCCAGTGCCCTCAGCTATCTGGGTTGGCTGCATGCTGGCTCGGCGCAGGGTCTCCTGGGGGTCTCCGGTTTTCATCTCCTCATCTGTGATGGTGGCCAGGCTCAGGGAAGGCTGCACAGGGTGGAAGAAGCAGTTAATGGACCCCAGGTATATGGAGTTGGAGCAGGAAGTGAGACTGCCCCAAAACTCCTCCCTCACCTGACACATGGAGCAGCTATATCCCTCCTACCTCAAAAGGGCCCCCTTCTTGTTCTCTACCTCCACCTGGATGAAGGGCCATGAGAAGAGCAGTCCCCAGGGACTCCTCTCCAAGCTCCTGCCTACCCACAGGTGATTCACCTCCAAGCTCCCTCCCTGCCAGGCTGTTCTGTCTGGAAGCATGAGAAGATCACCCTCCTCAGCAGGCCAGAGACCCAGGGCATTAGCACTTCGGCCAGATCAACAAGTGGCACTAGAGTAAGATGTCAAGGGAGGATGGGGTGAGCCAGCGTGAGAGGCCTAGTGCAGTGACCCCCAAGGCTCACCCTGGACTCCAGGGGATAGCAGGTCTTCAAGTGTGGGGGGCACACTCGATTGCGCTGCTGCAACTCTGCGATGCGGTTCCAGTCATCCAGCTGTTCGGGCTCATCCTGGCAAGTGTCCATGTAGAAGCTGTTCCTTCCTGTGGAGGGCAGGGGAGTTGGAGCAAATGGGGCCGGAGCAGGCAGGCTGCCCACTGGCCCTGGCATCATGCCAGCCTTTGCTGCCACCGCCCCTCTGCAGCTACCCCGTAACTTCAGTTCAAGCCCAGCACCCCAGAGTCCTGCTCTGATTCAGTGCTGCAGGTGCAGGAGTAGGCACACAGACCATTTGCTATGCTAGCGGCTTGCTTGCTGCTCTCTCCCTGCATAAGTCAGACGAGGTCATACGCAGAGGCTGCCACTACGTTACTCACTGGCCAAGGCTTGGTGCCCAATACCAAGAGAAACGAATAGAGGGCCAGGAATTGATCCTCAGGGGCTCTCTGGAACCCAAAAGGTATGAGCCTCCAGCAAGAGTCTGGCTGGCCTGGCCTTTCCTGTAGCTCATCATCACCTGAGAAGGGCATGAGGGCTCCTGCCAGCTCAGTGTCACTATCGTGCTGGGAATCCCAGGCCCTTCACATGAGCATCCCTGGTTCACCCTGGCTAAGGGTACCCCAGCACAGCCCCTAGTCGGAGAGGTAAGGCCCTGAGACTACAGGGAGGGCCAGGTAGGGTTGGAAGGCAACAAACAAACCAGCCTTGATGTTTAAAAGCTTGCCTCATCCCTGGGCTAGGATTTACCTTCAGTCTAATTTTTGGGTATGGGAAGTCCCTGCAGTCCCCTCACCTGGAGGAGCCCCACTGGACACCCCGGCCTGGGAGCGGCGAGTAGAGCTGCGAGTGGTGGGCCGGTAGCCAGGCAGGCTGAGCAGAGCCGAGTTGCCATCATCGGGAGAGCCCAGGCGGGCTAGAGACCGGGTAGAGGAGGTGGCCCGCAGGCCAGCCTGGGAAGCAGGGGCAGACTGCGTGCTATAGAAGGATGAGTTGGCACTGTCTGGCTCTTCCACATCTAGCTTCTAGAAAAGAGAATGAATCTGTTGCAGTGGGGCAGCCTTCCCTTTCCCTTCCAAAGTCCCCCGATCCCACAGCATGTCTGCCTGTGTTCCCAGGGTCCAGTTTTAAGGGTCCTGGCTTGCGTGTCTGCAAGAAAGAAGCCCTCACAAGGTGCTACGGTTGTCAAGACTTTTCTATCCATTTTTTCACTGAGTTAATTAACAGTGCTTTGAAGGGGAAAGGAAGAGTGTTACCAGCCCGTTTTAGAGGTGAGGTACAAAGAAATGAACTTGCTGGCCCCAAATCACAACAGCTAGCAAGTTGCGGAGCTGGGGCTGGACCCCATTTCTCCTGTATAGTCAGGCTCCTTCCACAGCTCTTCAATCCAAGCTTCCTAGGGCGCTGACCATCTTTTCTACCTTCTCGAGCTTCTTGGTAGCAGAGGGCACCTCCCCACACACACGTCCTCTCTGCTGTACTAAAGGTTCCTCTCCCCTCCTTCCCAATATCCTCCTAAAGATACAGAAACAAAGGGAATAGCCCACAGCCTGGCAGGCAGTCTGCTGAGCGGCCACAACACAGCTCAGCTGCACGGGGCTGTGCTGGGAGGCACAGAATGGGCTGCCACTTCCCCACATTCTCTCCCTTCACCCTGCACAGGATCAGTGCTACATGCAGGAAGGACACTAGCCACAGGGAGCTAATTCCAACCCTGCTTTTTCTACAGAAGAGGCCCTCAGTAAGTCAATGCCCTTTTTAAGATCTCAGCTTTCCCATCTGTAACACATGGACTGGCTGGTCATCCCTGCCTGCTCCTGACTGAGGGCCCAGTGGAAGGATGCGCTCGAGAGGAAATAGGCATTGCTGTCCTGTAGCCCCCTTCCCAGAAGCCTGACCTTGGTCATGGTGATGTTGATGATTTGTGTGGTGCGCCGACGAGCAGAGCGGGTCTTACGGCCTGAGTCCAGGAAGACATCGCCCAGGGAGTCCAGGCTGCTCTCCAGGGGAGCCTGACCCCGAGCAGGGATGGGGGTGAAGTAGAGACTCTCCAGGGACTCTACCTTGGGGGGCAGGCGCTGGGAGATGGGTGAGGCTGGTTCTGCAGGGATGCTGGTACCATCTGGCTGGGTACGGGACAGCTTGCTGTGGAAAGGAAACCTGTTGCGGTGTGGTTCCTGGGGCTAGAAGGCATTTTGTCCAGCCCTTTGCTCCAAAGTGACCATTTCTTACACTTATAAGCAGACAAGGCCAAGCATCTCTGAAAAACCCATCTCTGGTTTTTCAGAGATACCAAGGAAAGCCCTCGACCTGGGCCTTCCTTTCAATCTCTCCCCCTGGCTTCTGCCATCTTCCCATGCTGCCAATCTCAGCTCCCGA